CCCCCCCCTCTGCTTATTGATGGCAGAGCATCCGGGGGTCGGGCGTTCTGAAAACGCCCGACCCCCGCCCTCTTAGCACCGCAGGGGTCGGGCGTCTAGGGAACGCCGGACCCCCTCCGCTCGCGGAGGGCGGGGGTCGGGCGTTCTCGGAACGCCGGACCCCCCCCCCCCTCTCTGCTCATCGATGGCAGAGCATCCGGGGGTCGGGCGTTCTGAAAACCGCAGGGGTCGGGGGTCTGGGGTTCGGCGTCTAGGGAACGCCGGACCCCCTCTGCTCGTGGAGGGCGGGGGTCGGGCGTTCTCGGAACGCCGGACCCCCTCTGCTCGTGGAGGGCGGGGGTCGGGCGTTCTCGGAACGCCGGACCCCCCCCCTCCGCTCATCGATGGCAGAGCATCCGGGGGTCGGGCGTTCTGAAAACCGCGGGGGTCGGGGGTCGGGNGGAACGCCGGACCCCCCCCCTCCGCTCATCGATGGCAGAGCATCCGGGGGTCGGGCGTTCTGAAAACCGCGGGGGTCGGGGGTCGGGGGTCGGGCGTCTAGGGAACGCCGGACCCCCTCCGCTCGCAGAGGGCGGGGGTCGGGCGTTCTTGGAACGCCGGACCCCCCCCCTCCGCTCATCGATGGCAGAGCATCCGAGGGTCGGGCGTTCTGAAAACGCCCGCCCCCGCCCCTATTAGCACCGCGAGGGTCGGGGGTCGGGCGTCTAGGGAACACTGGACCCCTTTTGAGAAACAATGGTCGGGGGTCCGACGTTCGGGGAACGCCGGACCCCCTTTCAGAAACGACGGTCGGAGGTCGGGCGTTCTTGGAACGCCGGACCCCCTTTCGGATACGTCGGGGGTCCGGCGTTCGGGTCGGGCGTTTTGGGAACGCCGGACCCCCTTTCAGAAACAAGGGTTGGGGTGTCGGGCATCTAGGGAACGCCGCACCCCCTTTCGGATACGTCGGGGGTCGGGCGTTCTGGGAACGTCGGACCCCCTTTCGGAAACGAGGGGTGGGGTGTCTGTCGTTTAGGGAACGCCGGACCCCCTTTCGGAGACGTCGGGGGTCGGGCGTTCTGGGTACGCCGGACGTCCTTCGAGAAGAGACGAGGGTCTGGGAGTCGGCCGTTTTGGAGATGCCGGACCCCCTCGGTGCACAGAGGGAGGGGGGTCGGGGGTCGGGCGTTCTTGGAACGCCGGACCACCTTTCGGATACGTCGAGGGTCGGACGTTCTGGGAACGCCGGACCCCCTTTCAGAAACGAGGGTCGGGGTGTCGGGCATCTACTGAACGCCGGACCCCTTTTGTGAAACGACGGTCGGGGGTCGGGCGTTCTGGGAACGCCGGACCCCCTTTCGGATACGTCGGGGGTCGAGCGTTCTGGGAACGCCGGACCCCCTTTCAGAAACGAGGGTTGGGGTGTTTGTCGTCTAGAGAACGCCGGACCCCTTTTGTGAAACGACGGTCGGGGGTCGGGCGTTCTGGGTACGCCGGACCTCCTAACAGAAACGATGGTGGGGAGACGAGGGTCTAGGAATCGGCCGTTTTGGAGATGCCGGACCCCCTAGGTGCGCGGAGGGTGGGAGGTCGGAGGTCGGGCGTTTCCAGAACGTCCGACCCCCGCGGTTGTGGAGATGGGGGTCTGCCGTTTGGAGAAGGGCGGATCCACGATCCTTGACGATGCGAGGGGGGGGCCGTCGGCTCCTCGCGCGAAGTGCTTTTGTTTGTTCCTCATGTTTTCTTTGCTTGTGCGTTTCCTTTGTTTGTGTCCTCTAGGTCAACCTGCTGCTTCGACCTCTCGGGCATACGACAGGTCAAAGATCTACAACAACAAACCATGGGCTCTGGACTGGGTTGGTGGTCTGCATAAGCCTGGGTGTGGGGCCGTCGTCTTCTTGAGCGACGACAATGGTGCGACGTGGTACTGCTGTGGGGGTGTTGAGAAATCTGAGAGCGCCAGGAATACCTACGACGGGAGGTCGTTCAGAACCTTCTTTCTTACGTCAGTTTTCGACAAGGATGGGACAAATTGGGTCAAGGAAGACAAGAAGGTCGGCCTTGACTTGCGACTTTTTCAAGGCTACGACGTCAAGGCTTTCTCCATGAAAGCGTTTGACGTGTGCGGGGACGGCGCCGAGCTTCGCATGCTCACTGCGGAACAATTCCTCAGTAGAACGAACGGCTACCGCGTCACTGGCTGCCTTCCTGTCGTCGACAGTTCCTTGGAGCTCACCAAACCCTTCGTGAAATTCAGCAGCCCGACGGACCAACTACCAGGTGTTGTTAAGGAGTACAGGGAAGCCTTCTCGAGGCTGCCTCTGGACCAGCAAGCTGAGTGCGCTTTTGTGCCCTTTGTCACGAGCTCGAGGAAATCGCGACAGACGCCATCCGCACCGGTTGGGAAGAGGAAACAGTTGGTTGCTTGTCCAGCTCCGCCTTTGCCAGCCRCSTYGCCCTCGCCYTTGCCCGCGGTGAGGGGAGGTCASGATCTCGCTCAATGTTCCAGCGAGGCTACGCAGTAMGATGACAGACTTATGTGCGGACGCAATGCTGCGCGCGACAGTGTCCAGGAAGGTGCGACTGCCCTGATTGAGCGAAACGAGGATGAAGAAGATGGGGGAAGCTGTGGTGATGGCGGTGATGAGGAGTACATGGACGTTGGGGATGAGAACATGCAGGACCAGAACATGCTTGGCGATGACGACGTCGGTGTCACGTCGGAGCATGGCCCTGGGGACATCCCCGCCGGTTCTGTGGGAACCGCGGTTGGTCGGCCCTTGTCGTCCCCTGCGATATGGCATTTGCAAGGCGGGAGTCAGGGTGGGCATGACTTGCAGGAGCACGGAAGATCAAAGTCGAGGAAAAGGACAAGAGAAACTTTTCCTTCTGCTTCCGCTCACAAGAGACAATCGAGGACTGATGCTGTTAATGAGGCTCGTTGAGCTCTGATAGCATCCCAGGAGGCGAGACCTCCTCGGAAGAGCAGCCAGGGGGGGGGATCTGGCGGTCGTGGAGGCGGCCGTGGTGGAGCAAGAAAAGGTAAGCAGATTGTGAGGGCAGAAGAACTACGGGACTCGGGGCATGAGGGCGAGGGAGTGGGCCCTCGCATGCCTGACGATGGTGATGAACCGCTTCAGCACGCTGCGCCCATCGACACGACGCGTTGTTTCTTCCTCGAGTAGGACGAGCGGGGTTTTGCTAAGCAAAAAGTCCTTCCTGTTCTTGTGGACGTCATGAAAATCAAACGCATTCCCCGCGGGAATATTCTTTTCAACCACCGCTCTTTGTCTGCGAACATTGTGCGAGGCATCGAGAATGCCATCGAGAGTTCCATCACCACGGAACCGGGGGCGTGGGATAGGCCTGAGCTCGTGCTTGCGCCGGCTGACCGCAACGAAATCGTCGGTGGGCAGGGAAAGCGGATAACACCGACTGAATTCTTCGAAAAAGACTCCTCGGAGTTCGATTGGTATGCAGTCTGTGGTCAGCATACGGTCGAGGCGATGAAGACATTGGTGAAAAATGGCTCTCTGACAGTCGACGTCTATGGCCTTCGCGCGTACTCTAAGGTGCGGGTCGTCTATTTTGGAGATGACTAGACACGAGGGTATTTTAATGTCTCCGCCTTCGACAACACGCGCGAAAATCGGGCCATGATATTGTCGTTCGAGGATGCTGTCCGTGATATAAGGCAATGGTGGATCGATAACCACCGAATCGAGGCCCCAAAGGGCAAGGTCGGCGATAAGGATGCAGTCGCCGTTGCGCACCAAAAGAAGTGGCAGAATTTCTTAAGGGCCTCCATGGGGAAGGCATGCGACAAGGCGTTCGTGAAGCAAGCACTCGAGAATGAGTACATTTAGGATTGGAGCAATAAACTTCGTGGCTACATGAACCTCACAACATCCACCGAGGCTTTGTGGCCACTGGTCGAGAGGTTCTTCGAGATGTTTAACGAGGGGAAGCTGCCAGTTGGCGATGGTAAAATACTGCTTGACATGCCGGGTAGGATGGAGGGGCGCCAGCCAGGCCCGTACACCGACGAGACGAAGGGGCAAAGGACATTATACCATTGCATTTACGCGAGAGATGGTCCCAAAGGCTCCACCATGTCGTGGAAGGATCTTTGTCCTTCCTACTTCAAAAATTTTGGGGATTTGACGTGCCGCGAGAGGGAAGTTGCACTGCTCCTACTCATGAAAGGGAAGGTGGTCGCGACAAACGTCAAGGTCATGCCTCCGAGAGTGAATACGGAGTGCCTCCTCGACATCATGCGCAAGGAACGCTACATGGTCCGTATGTTCAACTACGTTATTTTCCGCGCCGAGGGAAGGGCGGACGATGAATGGAATGATGCCTTCTTCATGTTATACAAGGACCTCGAAGACAGGTATGGGCCGAACGGTCTCTGCGCAGCTGAATGGGAGAAGGAACGGGACAAGCTGCATGTCAGCAAAGTGAAGACGGTCCCTCGACGGCTTGGAGGGGTGGAGGAGGCAAGGCAAGGATCAGGCTTGGGCCCTACGCCGACAATATATAAGGAGGCTCCATTCCACTTTAAGGTGTTTGTATACACCTCAATCGATAAGCTCGATCTGCTTCGAGCGGAAGTCAAACGGGTCGCCTCCAGCGCACGTCATATCGTGTGGGATAAACTTAAAAAACAAACAAAATTGCTACCGATGTGCATGCCATTGAAGGAAGTGCTGGTTGCGCCAGACGACATCGTCGCTGCAGCGCAAAAAATGACCTGCAGGGCCGTCATCCTTGACATCTCCCCCACCAACTTCTGCACGTCATGGACCTCTCAAGAGTTCGACGCTTTGCACTCTATGATGACTAAGTGTTGTGGCATTAATTGGGTTCTTTTTGTCTTCGCACCGCAGAAGGTGCAAAGTGATGTTCTGCGATGCTTATTCCGGTGGGAGGACATCGAACTCATCCTCGGGACCTGGAAAAGGGTGGACAGACCATCGAATGACATCACGAAGTACGACAATATCGCAACGGCGAGTCGAGACATGATGGCCATTGTCCTGCACGGGGAGGGAGGGGATCTCAGAAAGGTCACGGTCGCACCCCACCTTAGCAATGACCTCACAAACGTGCATGTTGTGGAGGAGAAGTCGGGAAGTGTCTGGGGAAACACGGTGGCATAGAGGGCGATGAAAGTGTGGTGTATTCCATATGGGAGCGAGAGCCTGGCCAGTTGCGTTCATTGTGCGGGTCGTTCGTCGGGGAGGCGGAAGGTGTGTTTTTATTGGGTAGGGCGCACGAGGGTCTAGTGTGGGAATTCTTACTAGCAGGGAATAATATCATTGCCTGTGACGAGTGGGTGAAGGACATTGCATATTTGACAAAGTTCATCGATATACTTGTCAAGGACGACAGATTCAACTGCCACGTCGAGAAATCGCGTTGCAAACATCGCCCAAACAGGGACACGTTCCACAAGTTGGGGCGTACGAGACTGAAGGTGTGGGAGTACCTGTTCCGCGATATGCCACAAGGACGGCTTGACGGGAAATATATATACAGGAAAGCAAAGGCAACAGAGACCCTCAAACATTATCACGGTGCTCTCACTGGCGCCTTTGAGACTTTTGTTGCTCGATGCGAGATCCTCAAGTTCGATCTTCGCAAAGACCAATTGACATCCAAGGACTACGCGGAGCTCGCGAAATCGGGCGATGGCTTTAACCCCGTCGACAGCGAGGAAGATTCTTCGGACTCCGACCTCGAACTAGGAGAGGACACATGTGCTGAGGTTTCGCGCGTAAGATTGGTGCAAGATCACGATGACAGAACTGTCCATTCACATGGAGGGTCCATCATGATGGCTGCCCCAAGCGTCGCCTCAATGGTGGCCCCGTCGGAGACTGCTGCATTGCAAGACATTGGAAGATGCGGTGGCAATGAAGGAGACGACATTGAGATACCAGGCGAGGCGTCGACGCTCGCACCAGGCGATGCAATTCCTCCAGGCTACTGTGCTGACCCGACACGATATATTTCTTGGAGGGCAAACACACCCACACAGGCGAGGATCAGTGGGGCCATGACATCATATGGCATGAGGGCGTTTTACAGCCGTGCATCCAAGATGGGGAGTGGAAGATGGCGGTGAAATACACAAGCGGTTGGAAGACTTTTCATCGAATGTTAAAAGACATCTGGTTGAAAATGACAGAACTCGCGATCTTGCATCGTTTGCGCGTCGAGAATCAAGGGCAGAGCGAGGCCGCCATCAAAGCCAAGGCCGAAGAATTGTTTCATGTCTTGCGCAACAATCGGCAATTTTATGCCCTGCGCTCGAGTCCCTCACGCGGGTCAATCAACTGAAAGGTTGATCAAACCGCGAGAACCTTGGAGGGGAGCTGCTCTCATGATTTCATGCCTTCGGCGGAGATGACAGGACTACTGTTGTCGGGCCTCAAGAGGTTGACATCACGTCTAAGCCGCAAATATCGGAAAAATCCATCTCGGTCGCCGCGGCACAATCGTCCCCACCCATCGATGTGTCAACGACGTTGCCGTCGGATGCAGGTGCCACGTACGGGAGTTTATTGATAACAAATGCTGCAATGCAAGGCAGATCCGAGATCGAGTCAGAGTCTGATGTTGGGCCGAGCATGGCGGAGAGTCAGTTGCAACCGTCTTTATGCACTTGCAAAGGTGATGCACAACCGCTGACACCACAGGGAGGGGCCGGTGGGGATGGCGGGAAGGGAGGGGATGTGGAGGGAATGCACCGTTCTCGCAACCTCGACACCTTAACCGCTGATATTGATTAAAAGGGTTAGGGTGGGTGAGGCGGGAGGGGTGCAATTGGAGGGGGAGAATCCAGTGATATGATTACAACTTCACCTCTGCCTTGTTGAACTAAATTGTGTAATTGACTTGGTTCGTTGTTTTGTTTAAAATAGAATTCGTATTAGTCTCCGTAGGCACCACTTATACATCGTTTTTCCATTGATGTATTTTTTTTTTTTATTCACCTCAATTTTTTAATAGACCTGAGATGTTTAGATTGACTTCCCGTCTCAACGTGCAGTAACAAATCATGGTGGGAGCGTATGTGTGGTATTGTACATCTCTCTCTCTCTCTCTCTCTCTCTCTCTCTCTCTCTCTCTCTCTCTCTCTCTCTCTCTCGTTCGTTGCGACATGGACGTGTGTGTGCGGACGTACTGTATAAGGGTGGTCGTTCGATGCGAGGAATGAATGACTGCATATGTGAATGACGTTCATACAAGTAAAATATTAGAGAAATAATGAAAGCATCCCGTGCATGCATCAACTCTCACAAAGTGTTTGGCCATGCACTCACAATACTTGCCCCGTCCGTCCGCCTAAAGGTCCTCTTCCTCATTGTCTGCGGTGTGCAGTACAAATGCCAACAACGGATACAAGATTGTGCAAAAGAGGATGGACAATGCATCTCGCAACTTCGTCTTTATCGGAGAGGGAGATGGCAGCACTAGCGCATATCATTCGCGAATACGGGAATAGGTATCCCGTTGTCAGCACACAAGATGCGCACAATAACGAAGTGTTGCAACTCACTCGCAACGATTTTCTTTTGCTCGCCGTCTGTGTCGTCGCTCGTACGTATACGGCCCGTACACACTCCCGTATGACCGTACGTACGGGACCCCTGTCGTGCATACAGGCCGTACGTACGGGATGTCGTTCGTCCGTACGGGGTCTTCGAGGGGGGGGTCGGGCGTGATTTTCGGGTGGTTGGGTGTCAGGTGGCCGTGGGAGTCGGGCTGAACGAAAAAAAAAAAAAAAAAAAGATTTTTTTTTTTTTTTTG